AGTCTTTTTTGTTTGTTTCCTTCTCTTTATCCTCTCAATAATTGTTTAACCTAATTTCTTGATTATTGGCCTATGTACCAGGTACTTTTCTGAATGTGGGGTTAATCAGGATGAATAAAATTATGCCATGAAGAAACAACCTCTTAATAGAAGTGAGATGTGAACACTTACAATGTAATCTAGAAAGCACACGGAATTTTATGTTAGCACAGAGAGTATACATATGACCAAGTGCGATGGTTGGGGGGGGGGTGATTTCCTAAATTAGGTAATGTCTGAGCTGAATCTTAAAGAATTAATACTCCTAAGAATGAGTCAGGGATAGGAAGATGAGAAGGGAACACTAGGCAGAAGGAAAAATGAGAGCAAACACATGAGAGTGGTAACACAGCATTTAGTGTTACTGGGTCACAGAAAAACAGGCGGACACATCATGCTGGAAAGAAAGGCAAGAGTGATATGCAGTGGGGCCTCACACTTGTCTGTAAGAGCATAAATATATTTATGTTGGAAGTGGGGAGCCATAGCAGGATTTGGTTTTAAGCACATGGATCTCTCTGCCAGATCTTATGTGTAGGGTGGATTTGAGGAAAACAAGACGAGTCAGGGAGTTAGTAGAGCAGCTGGGAGGGGATGAGGCTTGAGCAGGGACAGTTGGAGTAGGAGATGGGAGGAAAAGAGGGCCTTGATAAATTTAATAAAATAAATTTAATTTAATGGATTTAGGTGGAAGTAGAGAAAAAGAGTTAAGGATGACTGCTGGCTTACTAATGTGGGTAAACTGGAAGGATGATGGTACCACCAAATGAGAGATAATGACGAATGTGAGGGCAGTGCTTATGTGCCACCTATGTACCCTCTCAAGGGTACCTGTGGCAGAGAATGTAGTGACTGACAGCCTCAACTACAGTGCCTTTGGATCTACCATTACAAGGGATCCCTGAGCTGCTATGAGCAATGTCTTATCACGATAGTAGCCCTAGAGTCAGGCCATTCCTGCCTGGTGTGGGATTCTTCATGGGCAATTTTGCTCAAAGATTTCCCATTGTTCTGGCCAGGACTCTGAGAACTGCAGTGCAGCATCAGGCTATTCCTACCCAACTCTGCCCCCGCCCTCTCCTTTCACAGGCATCAGATCCACATTTTGGTCTGAAGGGTCTCATTGGCTACTCCAGCTCTTGTCCTTCACAGGTGTTTCTTCCTTCAGATCTCTTGTACCTCTAATCTCAATGTGGCTTCTATTTCTTGGAGGATCCAAACTGATATTAGTAGCATTTGGACATGGGTATGATGACAAACAAGGAGATCAGTTACAGAAATACTAAGTGTGGTGTGACTGAGAGACATCTGGCTGGAAATATCCTATAGATAGTTGGATAAAGAAGTTAGAAAACCAGAGATAGAGAAGGGCTTGGCATATAGATTTGGGAATTTTCAGCATACAGTGGGTAATCAAAACTGTGAATGTGGATAGAATCACTCAGGGAATGGGAATAATGTGAATATCGCAGAAATTTTATATTTGTATGCTATGGTCTGAATGTTTACGTCCCTCCAAAATTTACGTGTTGAAATCCTCACCCTCAAGCTGATGGTATTAGGAGGTGGGGCTTTTGGGAATGGGGTTAGTGGACTTATAAAGAGACACTGGAACAATCTTTGTCCCTTCCACTATGTGAGGGTACAGAAAGAAGCTGGCAGTCTCAAACCTGGAAGAGGCCTCTCACCAGAACCTGGCCATTTTGGCACCCCACTCTTAGACTTCTAGCTTCCAGAACTGTGAGAAATAAATGTCTATTGTTTGTAAGCCACTCAGCCTATGGCAAGTTGCTATAGCAGCCCAAATGGACACATGCAAAACAAGATTCATTAGCACATATGCAAATTAGACCGGTGACATTTACTTTTCCTTCTTCACTCCCATCACCCTATCTGTGTTTCTTCTCTTGCTGGTTGGTTGTGTGGCCTTGTGCCAGTCAGCTCCTATGAACACTTAGCTCATTTAGGGCTCTTTGCTGCCAGGATTAGCACTCATTCCTGTGTTGATTGTACCTTATACCTCCTTCTGTTCCAGAAAAGTTGTCATTCCTGAGGTCACTTCTCTAGGGCCCAAGTTTTCTAGGCCATTTGTGACTCAATGCATTTACTCTCTCAGCCATTTGAAGGCTCAATTCATTGCCCCAGAGAAGTGGGCGTGTACTATGAATCCTCTGATTTTGTTCCTCACTTCTTGGTATGATTCTGTAGATTTTTGGAATTTCTAGCTTTGTTTTCACCTGATATGGCAAGGATTTCCATTTGTTCACTTATGGTTATTATTCTAGCTTTATGATCAGCCTTGGTTCCCGGTAGGCCCGGACCCTCTATCTTCAGGACACTAGTCTGAAGTTTGATAGTGAGCTCTTGTGTCACAGGACAGTTTGATATTCTGAGTACTTTTCTAAGAAGAAGCCATCTTACATGGGGAACGTGATATTTCTCTTTCTCTCTCTCTCTCTGTATATATATATATATATATATACATATATACGTGTGTGTGTGTGTGCATATGTGTGTGTGTGTGTATAGATGTGTATATAGATGTATATATGTGTGTATATACATGTTTTCCTCCACAATTCTTGGTTCGTAATTCCTATAGTCCTGTTATTTCCCAGGTGACTAAAGCAATACACATATCTGTTGTTAAGATGTTTGGCTTTTAGTTCCTGAAATAGCTTCAGAACAATTTCAGAGCCATGAAAGTGAAGACAGTCTTGTTATGATGATGGAATTGTTAGGCCTCTGAAGCAGACCTCAGGAAACTGAGTCACTCACTCTGAACTCCTGCCCTTCTTTCACCTGTTCCATTTTCTCCTCAAGCCAGACCATAGAAACTAAAAATATACCCTAATCTTCTCGTTACCTTTCTGTCTTGGAGCTGGACATAAATAAATTATCTTACCTACCTTCTCTAATTGTAAGTCATAAGACTCATTTCAGAAGGGGTCCTGCAGTATACCTGGAGGAAGACATGCTGCACAGAAAGGCCAAGAAGAATCTGAACAGACAGGCCTTGCTGGGTTTCCCCACTCATTCTACTGGTATTAGATTATATCCTTTTTGTTAAATCACGTTTTTACATCATTGTTCACCCTTCAATCCTGCCTATCCAATGAAATATCTAAAAAAGGCCCAAGGGGGCACAGTACAGAGAGATTCTGGGCAGCTGAACTCATGCAGGCTTACAGGAAAATGAATAGCTCATCCACATGCTGGAAGGGTGGTGCACCCTAACTCCATTGGAACAGAAGCTTCTACACTTGGGACACTTTCACGACCTCACCCTATGTGTCTCTTCATCTGGTTATTTATGTGTATGCTTTAAAATATTTATAATAAACAAATTTGCCAAAATTACACAAGTGTTTCCTTTAGTTTTGTGAGCCACTATCAAAGCGAACCCGAAAAGGGAGTCCTGGGAACCACAACTTGAAGCAGGTCAGTCAGAAATATTGCAGGCCCAGACTTGTGACTGGTATCTAATGTGGGGAAGGTCTTGGGAGACTGAGCCCTCAGTCTATGGAATCTCATGTTATCTCTGGTTAGGTAGTATCAGAATTAAATAGGACTAGAAGATACCCACCTGGTGTCTGCTGCAGAATTGATTGCTGGCTTGTTGGTGGAGAGAAATTCCCACACATTTGGTCACAGAAATCTTCTGTGTTGATTGTTATGGTGTGAGAGCAGAGGAAGAAAAGTTTGATTTTTCTACAATGGGAGACTGTTATAGTTCTTTCAGCCAGGTAACAGTGCTTTGTGACTCTCCATATGTTCATATGGCTTTTGGCTTTAGCATTCCAAAAGGTCTTGTATTGCCCAAGTGACAGTAAATCCTATGTGAAGTGAATCCTATTGTCTTACTTGTAGCATTATGGGCATTCTGCAAGACACATGTCTGGATCAGCTTGTCTTTTGCCTTGGCCTTATGTTCTTGGCATGTTGTATAGCATAACTGAAGTGTGGATAAGGATGTCCATGTAGGGGAGTGGGGTAGAAACATATAGTATCATTATGTATGAATTTGGGCAACTTGCTTTTAAAATGATTTCTGGCAGATATTAAAGCAAAATCAGCAGGAGGCCGTTAGTCTGAGTTCCTGTATAACAAACCACAACCTAACTTAGTATGTAAACAATTGAAACCTAATTTAGCAGCATATTTAGTAATCATCAGCTGAGTTTCAGCCAATCACAAACAGCCATGCTTTAGCCAGTCACAGGTAGCCAACTGATCAGCTCATTCTCAAATAAGGCAGATGCCTAGCTGTGGCCTATTAAATAATTTCTCTACTTTGCTTCCATGTGCAGCCTATACCAACTTGTTGCTCATTCTGCTGGGTGGAACTCTCTGAACCTCTTCTGGTTCTGATTGCTACCTGACTCATGAATCATTCTTTGCCCAAATAAACTGTCAAATTTGTCTAAAATTTTTCTTTTACCACAGAGAATAAATAAACTAGCATTAACATTCCCACACTATTCTTAACGTGGTGGCTGCCTTCTAAGTGGGTGAGGTTTGGGCATAGCAGAATACTTAGTCCCCAATAAGATATTTTATATATATATATATATGTATATATATATATATATATATATATGTATATATATATATATATATGTATATATATATATATATATACATGTATATATATATATATATTTATATGTCTCTATCATCAAATTTCATATATTCTGTCAAATATATATAAATTTGACAGAAGGAATATGCATGTGAATTCTAGAAGTTTATTTCTTGCCATTTTTTATATTAGGTTAAGTGATTTAATTTGAATACATTCAGTTTGTACACATCTGGCATCAGTCTGAATTTTGTTTACATATATCTGCTGTTATTTTAGGTCATAAACTCTGTCGCACACATGTCTTATGTGAAAGTCACACATGTACAATCCTCTCAAATGCAGTGCATCCAAACTTGTAAAATTTTGCGAACTCCTCTATATAATCAATTTCATGAAACATTGATAGATTCTTTGTTTCTCATGACTTCTGGCAATATTTGAAATACAAGGTAAGCATTCATTTCACAATGTTATATTGAGAAGACTAGTTAATACGGAAGACTATACCACATCTATGCTAAGTATCAAGTGGGAATCCAATGAAGGATTTGAGCAAAAGTTTACCCTGTTACCTTACAGTGAGTTGGATGAGTTGGAGGAAGTAAAATACATAGAATTGTTGAGGTGGGAATCAGCTGAAATAATGAAGAGACTGAAGCTTTCAGCAATGTGATATTAAGGCAATTTGAAAACAAGTCACAGGAAAACAATTGACATTTCGCAATCAGAAATGGTGGAACCCAGGAAGCCTCAGGCACAATATGGTTTCACAGATAATATATTTTGTGCATACTGGCAAAAACACAGGGCTCTAGATTTTAATATATCTATCTACATAAGTAATGGTCATAATAGATAGTATTATTTTTTTGAAGCTGACAAATAGTAATTCTAAACATCTCTAGGCTAAAATTTACTACCATCAAAGTTTGGAAATTTTGATCTATGCTGATAGTTATGTTTTAATCATAATTGTTTATTTAACTAATAGCTACAGATCTTAGGTCTGTCTGTTAGTATATGAGAACATTGTCAACATGAGAAATTGCTTTTGTATTTACTTCCCATTCGACTGCTTCCCTCCCCTTTTCTGCTTTCTCTTAATTGCTAGGTTCTTAAATACTGCACTGATGGAATAATATTAATCAATGGAAATAAACAGAACTTCAGGTTAAGAAAAGAAATGTTAGCATATGTATAATCTAAATTTGCTTGCTTTTTGATGGTCATTAGTCAGATAATTGACCTTACATTATATACTCTAAGTATATAATTATTTTAAAATTATCTAAATGTTCACCCATTTTTAGAATCTTCTTTGTGAGAATGAGGCTCCATGATTCATAATTAGATCACCTTCTTTCAACTTGGATTAATCTTCTCTTCATACCAAATCACTTTTCAGTAAATTAAACTAATGGAAAATAACCTAGAGAACTGGAAAGAATGTGAATTTAGGCATGAGAGGTAAAAGTATGAAACACACGTCTGTTCCTCCTGGTCTTTTAAAATATTTTCTGTAGTTGTAACAGTAACTTTGGCATGAGAAACTGTTGAAGCTATGTAAACCCACTGAGACAGTATGGAAAGTGGGCTGACATTTAAGTTCTGTGAAATCTAGCCATGACCTTGGGCTTACACACATTTGTTTACACTCACACACACACACACACACACACACACACACAGAAAATATTCTGTGCTAAGGGTGTGTAGGTATCTCCCTTGCAACCTGAGAGAATCTATGATGTTAGGAATGGAGGGTCTTTCGCAGATATGTGGATTTAGTCATTTAAAAACATATTTGCAGTAGAATTTTTTGTACTTCGTTTTCATCTCTATCCCAGGGAAAATAAAGACATTTTTGTTTGAAATTGTATCTGCTGTAGGCCCAGTTCTAGAAATGTAAATTGAAGACAAGTCCTTTGGATATTGATAATGCAGCTATAATTTCTAACAGGTAATGTAGTGGTTTAGCTTATTTGACACATGCTGTGCTGAAGTAATGTTGTTGAAGAAGCTTTATTCTTGTATCTTATGCCTGTAAACTGGGTACTTTTCACTTAATGGGGAACATATCTTGTTAAGTTGTACAGCCAGGTGTCACTTGTCTTCTTCACGGACAATTAGAATACAGAATAAATCTAGATACTACTATTTTCTATTGATACAAACTCATTGAAAATGATCTAGAAAAGAGATTCTTATCAACTCTCTCTAAAATTATTATGAAACATTGTGGTATGTAAATATACATGTGTTTTAAAAGAGAGGACCCATAGCCTTTCTTTGATATTTAAATGGCGTTTGTGACTATCCCAGATGTTTAGAATCATTGCTATAGAATACAAGAAATATTAAGAGCAAGGATTAAAACAATAAAGTGTAGTGAAATTTGCCTATTTATTTCATGAATAATATTAATCATAAATTTCGAGGTTTAATCTGAATTTTATTTTAATCTAAATATCTGTGTAACATTTAACTGCATGTTATAATTTTATGACATAAAGTTCCAATATCAACAATGATATTCAAAGGTTGCTGTGTAAGATATATTAACTTTACACATTCAAGTTGAATAAATAGCATTATTTCATTGAAATTCTCTGGGGAAAAAAAATCAGCCACAGATAATTACTGAATTGAACACTATCTTATTCCTAAAAAATGAACATAAATTATTTCGTCAGAATCATCCTAAAAACTTCTGAAGTTTTATATGCGAATAAAATATTGACTTAGTTTTTAATTATCTAAAACTATATAGGCTTTTTTGGTAGCAGTTTCTGGAATATTGTCTTAATGTAACATGATGGCTAAAGTTGAGTCTTTGGAATCACTTAATCTATTTTTTAAATCTCAGATTCAGACTTATTGACAGTGTAACACTTAGCCAAATAATGTATATTCGCTTTCCACAGCAAATGAGAACATGCACAAAAAAAGCTTTGCCTGGTGTCTAGTAAATGTAAATGTTTTGTAAATAGTAGCAGTACTAGAAGTATTCCTTCTTAGGAAGAGCACAAAGTGACTTAATGTATACAATAAGATATTAGTGAGGGAAATTAGGAAGGAGTTCTGGGGAGGTTGAGTCACCTAAGAATATAATTCAGGCTTTAATCTATTGCATTAGCAGACACTGCCCCAAGAATCACTCCTAGTTTAGAGATAATTATATAAAAATAGGTCTCTATGTTTGAGATAAGACTATGAAATATAGCTAGTGTACAAACCCTGAACTAACATAATTATAATCCAAAAAAGCACAAATTTTGTGAGATAATGCAAAGTTGTCAGTGCTAGGCAACCACTGTTGTATTGATTGTATAGTGTGTGAAATGATTTTCTATAGTATTTTGTACATGAGGAAATTTTAGCTATAATGTCTCTCTGCAGGTACACCAGGGAGTAGTCGTTACATTTATGTGCTATATTATTTTTATGTTTGGTTGTGAGTGTTGAAAAAACCTTATTTTAAATGTAATTACAATTTGATAATACCTTAAAAAGTGGTATCTTTTTCTTACTCTTGTTTTCCCCATTTCCATATATCCAATCATAGAGAAGCCTCTCTTGAGTGTTTTGGACCCATCTAGTTTCCTTTTCAGGGAGTTAATATTAATTTGAGCTAATGTTCATTTAGTGCTTTCTATGGGTAGGCCCTAAGAGCTCTATCATTATTATTTTGCTTAATCCACACAAGCTGGAAAAGTAAGAACTACCATTATCTCTATATCATAGATGAAGAAATTGGATCTTGGGGTAATTATTCTGCTTAAGCTGGCACGGACAGTGAGTGGTAAAGCCACAGTTCAAACCTCTCTGTGCTCCCAGAGACCATATGCTACTACATGATATTAGCCTGCATCTCAGAAGGAAAAGCAGGACAAGTCATTGAATATAGAACTTGTTATCAATAAAAATTACTTGCACCTGTGTGCCCTGGAGACACTTCTAAGATTTAGCCAAAAGTAAAAGACTACTGTCTGACGCCCATGTTCATAATATGCCACGTACTTTCTTTCCAGACTCTTGAATGTATATCACATCAGTTTTTCCCCAAACACAGAAGAAATAGAATTCTTTCATTTATTTCACCTTGATTGCATGTCTGTAGAACCAAGGCAGTGTTTTAAGCACTTGAGATTTGTTTATCCCTGAACAAAATACAAAACAAAGAAACAAAACAGATTCTGCCTTTTTGGAGTGGTTTTGTGGGTTTCAATGTATAGGAAATTGACAGCACCTAAGAAAAAGGGAGAACTGCTAACAAACAACTGGGGTAGATTTTAATCAGCATTCATTTCTTAAATGTTAGGATTGCTGAAGACGAATATGCCTGAATTAGAATTTTTTTCTTTTTGTTTTTACAGATTCAACTATTGTGATTCTTTCTCATCTTTGTTTCCCTACCTGTTAAATAGGGCTACCAAAAGAGAAAATTTTGCATTCCTCTGTCTATATTTGGACATGTTATAAATATATTTGGCGGTGGAAATGAGAGCGATTGATAATCAATACTGTTGGTTCAAAGACATCAAGTAAAGCTTCCATCCATCTGGACACTGCTGTTTGTTCAGGCATGGATGCCACAAGATACTGAAAGCTAATAAGAAGGGAAACTAAGGATCTTTTGATCCGGGATGACATGGGGGAAGGGAAGATTGCTATTACTGTTTTTAACAGATCTCTTGATAATGTTTCTGCTATTTGTCATAGTATTTGAATTTTGTGGTGCTGAGATTGTAGAACTAATACATGAAGAGGATTGTGAAACCTTATAATGGGAGAACTTCTTCCCCCAATATAGTCAAGATGTACACCTTCTATAGGTGATTGGAATCCTCCATGACCGTATATAGGAATGTACAAGCACTTACTAATACAATGGTTCTGTCTTTTCTGTGTTCTCTAGAATTTCCAAAGGTTTCTTCCTTAAAGGGAGGTCTTGCTACAATGATATATTGAAGGGCAATAATCTTCATGAGCATTGGAAAGAGAAAAATAACAAGCTTGAATAACAATATTTTTTCAATATTTTTTTTCTTAGAGCTCCAATCTGGTGTGACTCCTGATTATACACCTAAACCTTTGAAGAACTTCCTATGTGTTTATAAAATGATTCATTCTACCTTGTTGAGCTCTTAAATGACTATGCACAAAACACAATGAGAGCCCATGACTGTGTTCAGTATTATTAGGAACATGGAACAATGAGTCATTTTTCCACCTCTGTTTAATGAAACCTCTTTGTTCTGATGAGACTGGGTGATCCAGGGTTTTAAATTCAAAGCATATTAACTAGAAAATATAGAAGCTAAGAAAAAAAAAGCAGGAAAGCAATCTCCTGAGGCACTGGAAAAAGCTAAGGGTCTTAAGGTGGAAAATTATAGAGTTTTGTAATAAATAAGATAAGTAATATAAGCCCATGGGTTTATATTCCATT